GATTTGCTATTCCTAATGATACCATTTTTTAGTAACTCTGTGATTTCCTTTTTACAAATCTCAGTAGTTTCATGGTTCATTTGGATTGGTCTAGACTTAGTGGGAATATTGTCTTCCTTAAATCCTTTGACATAAGGAAGTCTAACCATGTGTTTCTTCCTATGCCAGAATGCTGTAGGAAGGGAGGAACAAACTTCTGATTCTAGTTTTTCCCTAAACCTATCAATCTTTTGTTGTAAGATTGGGTTGGTTAGGTTTTCTTTAGTTCTGAGGTGGTTAATCTCTTGTTTAAGAAATTCCACTTGTTTAATTTTTCTGTTTATAACATTAAGGGACTGTGAGACAGAAACGTCTTTTAGCTGCCTTAAATGTTTTTTCTCTGGTTTAGTGATAAATGTAAATACAATTTTTCTCCCAAAATGCTTGGTTGATATTCCATCTGTATTTGTACTAAAAGGGTACAAAAGATATATAAATGGAAGACCAAGTATAACAGAGTCAGTCATGTCTTTAACAAGTAAGAATGATGTTTCAAAACATACATCTTGTTGACATACATGAACTCTTGGAAGTTTGTATTTAACATTCATTTTACTGCCATTAGCAGAACTAATTCTTTCTAATGTTTTTTCATAAAACATGGTTGGAATTAATCCTTCTTGGATGCAGTTTACATCTGCTCCAGTGTCTAATAAGGCAATAACAGTAATATGATAACTGTTGTTAATGATTAATTTTACTTCAACATGCCATTTTTGGACAGTCAAAGAGTTAATCAGACTAATTCTTTTATCATCATTAGTGCCTACTTCATGGAATGAAGGCAGGTTCGTTACACCAGAAGTTTTCGTCTGAAAGGAGGAGGTTACTGGTATCCCCTGTGTAAAGCATTGATGATCAAAAGGATTAGTAAAATCTTCAGTCTGATCTTCTGGATCAGAATCCTGGGATTTTTCAGAATGTTTTTCTGTTTGTAAAAGAGTTAAAGCTTCAGCAAATTTTTTGTCTTGAGCTTTTAAATCTTTTATTTCTAGTTTAAGCTTATTAACTTCACTCTGGAGATCTTGTAAGGTGATTTCTTTTTTCTTTTCCTTACTAAATCTTTCCATAGTTTTGTTAAGGCTTATTAATGGTTTTTCTATAATAGGTTGCTTATTATCCTTTTTACTGAAAAGGTTTCTAAGCTGTTTTACATACTTATCTTTTAGATCTGGATCCTCTATCTTGGAGATCAAGTCTATAAGTATGTGTTCTTCATTTTGTTTAGTGATTACCCTGACTTGTTTTTGACAAGAGCATCCTATTTTAATTCTAGGTTTATCAGGGTGATCAGAGGCTGAATAATAATCTGAAGAGTCTGAGGTGTCTACTGGACTGTTTGATTCTTCAGAACTTTCCAAATTATTTATCCTAAAGATTTCAAGGATTCTGTCCTCATCATCTTGGGATAAATTTAATCTTTTGACACTTTTTTTAACTGGACAATCAGGACTAATGTGGCCTGGTTTTCCACAGTTAAAACATTTAATATCATCTTGGATTTTCCCCTTTCTTTTTTATCTGTCCTTTTGGATCTAAAATTTCTTCTAGTTTTTTTACTTGAAGATTCAGGTTTAGATCTTTTGGCAGTTTTGTGGTGAGGGAAAAATCTTTGGTAAGATTTATTTTTAGAATAAGGCTTATGTGATTTGGATTTTCTGTGTTTCTTATGGGAAGGAGCTAATGGCTGTAACCCATATTGTTCACAAAAATTACCTAATTCATATTTAGCCTTATGTTTTTCATTTGTTAATTGCTTATTGATTCTCAAATCAACACACCATTTTAATCCTACATTCTGGATGGTGCTAATGAGTTCTCCATAAGCAAGATTATCATATTCAATGATTCCTGTGTCTTTGCTAAGGGCTTCTCTAACCTTATGGGCAAAGAGATTAGGTAGTCCATTAACAAATTTTTCTTTCCAGAAAGCTTTTTGGCAGTCTGGGCGAACCATAACACGAGAAACAAAGACATCTTTATACCACCTAAAGTCACTAAGTGTGGGACATTTTAGGTTGGTCAATTGGTCATGGATCCTAGCAGTTATGCTACTAGGAGTGCCAACAAAGTGTTTGATGATGGTGAATATAAGGGTATTACATCCATCAGGTCTAGCTGTTCCAATCCTTTCATCAAAGATTGGAAGACCCTCATCATCTCTGAGAACAGCATTAATGATACTGTCTCTTTGTTCCTGGTTTAAATAATTATCCCACCAATTTCTAAGAACACCTGTGAATCCTGAAACTATTAGTTTGACAATCTCAGGTTCAGGGCTATCTAGATTGGTCATATAATTATTTAATACCATGGATAGATGACTAATCTTATTAAGAATTTCCTGTTCACTTAGACCATCTATGTTCCATTCATAGAGTCTGTTAGACTGAACAGAAAATTGGTTTAGCACATTTTTTTCTTCATACTGAAGATCTGGTGGAGTAGGTCTAGAATACCAGTTCTTTGTGGAGCTGGTAGGGACTCTAACCAGTGCATTGATTTTAGAATCAGGTTGGGTCATACTGTGATCCTTAAACTGATTTTCTAAGTTTTCTATTTCAGAGTCAGAATCAGTGGTGTCTTCCGGACTACTGGATTCTGCATTAGACTCTGAACTTTCTTCAGTTTGGTTGATGACTGTTATCTGAGAAGTACTGGTAGATTCCTTCTTAGATAAGAGTGCATCAATTTGTTGAATTAGGTTTTTATCCTTTAAACCTAAATTCTTTCTTTCTTCAGGTAGGTTGACTAGAGGTCTTTCTACTGAAGATGGTTTAATTTCATCTATTTTAGTTTCAATTTTATCCAACTGTTTACCTATAGTAATCAGGCTTTGGTTGGTGTAATTGATCTGTTCAACTATCTTCTTTTCAGATTCTAAAACTGGAATCTTAAAGGGAGTAGCAGTAACAGTTTTGGTAGCATATTTAATTTCAATAGTTTCTGCTGGGGGTGACTAGAGGTTACCATAGCAGATTCTGTTTTCCAATTTTGCTGAGTTACTACTTTTACTTCTTTGTGGAAGTTTTTTAAGTAGTCTTCTAAAGCAATCTCAGATTCTAATTTATACATTAAAGAAATCCATTCTTTTTTTATTTTTTCTTGATTTTTACAAGGTAGAGATTCAAAAGCTTTCCTAAGAGGTTTGTTCTCAGGGGTTTTGAAATTCTTTTTTAACTTGTAAATATCAGGCATAAAAAATTCTTTTTCCCTAGTGATAGTGTATAATTGATGGATTTTGCTGGATTCTACATTTCCATCAAAGGCACTAGCAGTGGGTGACAGAGAAGGTGAAGGAGTGAATTCATCATTCTCTGTTTGTTTGAATTCTGTGTATCTAGACCTTAATGGTACACTTATGGGAGTGTATACTGGCCTAGCTACTGGGTGAGAGGAATTAGCGATTCCTTTTAACCTATGGTCAAGTTCTTTGGCAATTTCTCTGTCTCTATGGGAAACAGATGAGAAATCAGATTTCCTTCCTTCAGGAACCTGATCATGCCTGGGTGTGAACCTACTAGATCTACTGGATCTAGCAGTATCAAAAGATATTTTAACCGATCCATCAGGGAGCTGTCTGATAGTCTCCAGATCAGTTGTAGTTGACTCGGTACTAGATTCTTTATCAAAATTTTCATTCTGCATGGTCCAAGATTCTGGTAAGGTCACATCTTTCCAAAGTATCTGCTTTGGAATTTGGATGTTGGTCTGTGCAGAACTGGCTTGTATCAACATAGTACTTCCCTTAGGACTTGGGTCAAGGCATTGTACATTAAGATTAGTACGAATACACTTGTAGTAAATCCTGTAAATAAGTACTATGGAACTAGTGTTTTTTACTAACCTGGTAATATCGCCTGTAAGACGGATACCAAGAGTTAGTGCCATGTGTGTGTTAGGACAATGGAGGTCAAGGGTAAAGTCAGGGAAGCAGTTAAAGTAGACTGGACCTCTGTGGAGTCCTGTCTCCATGATTCCCAAGACACTTGGTTCCCAATCTAGAAACCTTGCATCTCTTAGTGCTAGTAAGGCAACAACATTTCTGCCTTGGGTGATAAGTGGTTTAATGGCCACTTGGACAAGACCTATGTGGATAAAATTAAATCCTTTGGCCTTGTGAATCTTAAGAGTCTCCTTAGTGAGGAGCTCACAAAGCTCATCTTCTTTTCTGAGAGGATAAACTTGTTCAATAGTTTTAACTTGGTGTTCTTCACTAAAGGTTTTTTGAACCCAAGTTGTGCTATAAATATTTTTTTCTTTAACTGGAGGAATATTCCATTTTTTCCAGTCTGATTTAGTTTCTTCTATTTCTAATTCTTCCTCATTTACTCTATGTGGCATAGAATAATCTGAAGATCTAGATGTACTAGCTCTAGAATTAGATCTGAATAATCTACTCATTTTAAAATTTAAATTGTTATCAAATTTTAAATTTATATGTAAGTATGACCACACTATACATACCCCCTAATCTGGCTCCAATTTCTCTCAACTTCTTGCCTAAGATCCCTTTCTGCCAACTCTAGGACTTACACTTGGGACAAGAAAAGGCTTACGTGCTCTTGAGTGTCTGGATTAAGGTTGGGTGATAGGGTAAGATCTACTTAGAAATGAATTTGAAAGATGAAACAAATAAATATATTAACAAATATACATGAATCAGTGTGCATTAAATATTAAACTTCTCCCAGAAAATTAGGAGATATTTAATGCACCATTTTTCCTAAAATGGGTATTTATGTCTTTGTTTTTAACTAGTATACATTTTTTCAAAATATTTTTTAGTGTGTATTTTTTACCAAATAAGTTTAATTGGGTTTAACCCTTACAATTTACCCAATATGTTTTGATGAGTCTGAGGCCCAGCTCAATCCCAAACACTTGCTCAGTTACTGGACTAGGGGCAAACTCGTAATTCTCTGTTTTCTGATACTATGGCTGGATGTTTTGGTACAGGAGCAGATTATAGTAGGCGATGGAGTGCATTCAACAGTTCACACACAGTCTCTTTCCTATCCCATTCTACGGGAAAAACTTCAAAACCTCTACAAATACTCCATTACAGACCATCCCAATTATACTTCTCCATCCAACCCGGAAACCCAATTGCAGACCCAAGAATTCATACCTGAGCCCCACCTTCAATGTAAACTTGAAACCCCAAAGAAATTACAGCGCTACTTCAACAGCTCGGGCTGGTTGGTTTCTGGGTATGGGAGAGAAGAAGCAGAATTTGCCAGACATTGTGAAGGCTGGCGACCCTGTTCTTTATGAACCGGCCCGAGAGGTCCCACTAGAAGAAATCGGGTCGGAGAGGATCCAAAAGATTGTAGATGATATGGTGAACCTGATGAGGAAGGCACCTGGGGTTGGTCTTGCTGCTCCTCAGATTGGTGTTCCTTTGAAGGTTCGTTTTTGACCTTTTTTAATTTATTTTTTATTGAATGCAGATTCGAAACAGTTTGGACTTTATCAATTAGATAAAATACTGGTCAAAGAGGATTTTCTTCAGTTTTTTATGTTTTCTTTTATTGCACTGCCTCATTTTAATCATATGTGTTCGTGATAGAAAATGAAATTGATATGAACATGCCATGTCGCTATTGAGAAATTTTCATAACCAAATGGCAAGTCCAATTTCATGCCTTCTGAAATGGGTTAGGGGAAATTAATTGAATCTTTGAATTAATTTTTGTTTCTTGATTCCAATTCCAGGCCCTCAATTTCATGCTGCAAAACACATTGTAGGTATTTATAGAAGATTACTGTTTTTTAGTTGCAAAGCCATAGTTGATGGGATTTGAGTCTTACTCCAGCTCATTAGTAGCCTCGCTTAATCGATTAGGTCAAGATACACGTTAGAAAAGTACATTTTATAGTTGCACCAAATGGTACATTGGGAAAATACTATTAGTAGACGAAGAGGTGTCAGCTTTGGAAAAATTGTGGTAAATGTTGATGGTTGAGCAGCAAATCAGTTTTTGAGTGTCTGTTTCTGTGTGGTTAGAATATTTTACCAAGAATCCGGGTTAGAATAGCTGAACTTAAACAAAAAAATTTGATCAAGAACAGTGCCAGCTGATGGCTTGCTATCTTTCTAAGAAAATGAGCCTGGTAATGATATGAGAAAAAGGGCATCTGTAATAGACTGATTTTGCTAACCTCTAACAGATAATTGTTTTGGAAGACACGAAAGAGTACATCAGTTATGCACCAAAGGAGGTGACAAAAGCACAGGAGCGGCGTCCTTTTGATCTATTGGTATGTGAGCAATATGCTACAGCCTTATGTGCAATTGACGTCTGACTTCTCTATAATTTTTACATTGTACAGCTCTTTTAGTGCAGGTCATTCTGAATCCAAAACTTAAAAAGAAGGGCAACAAAACTGCCCTGTATTTTGAAGGGTGTTTGAGGTAAGCTACAGGAGGCAACTAATTTCATAGTACAGCCTATTTGTCAATGCTCATTAAATGTCACATGGGACTGAGATTAAGCCTTGCAATTAAAGCCTCAGTACAGCTATATTGACATTATTTGTACATTTCACACACTGTTAGGTCATAGATTTTTGAGCAATGGCTTTGTTAAAAAATGCAATCCCTTCAATGCTCTCCTTTAGCTGAACAGTGGGTTTGCTATGAACTTTGATATTGGCATTGATTCTCAGGCATTTGGGTTGCATATGAACCATCACGCTGTCTGTATGAGACTTGTGAACCATTGCCAATGGATTTTCTGACGAGGGTTGGTTAGCACTCTTGCTTTTTTGACCATATGATGATGGATTTCCATTTCCTTCTCATAATGATTTCCTGTTTTGGTATCTATCAGTAGTATACAGGGAATTGTTTTTCCTTTCCCCGTGTGTTTGAGGTGCCTTTCCAAATTTCTAAAAAATTGGGTGTCTCTTGGAATGAAAACAGAATGTTGGAACTTGCAAAATTTAGTTTTGCTCCATCATAATCTTGACTAATATACTGGCCATCTAAGATCGATTCTCTTTTCTGTTATGATGTACTTTGCAGCGTTGATGGATTTAGAGCGGTTGTGGAGCGATACCTAGAGGTTGAGGTTACAGGTTTTGATCGAGATGGCCGGCCAATCAAAATTGATGCCTCAGGTTGGCAGGCCCGTATTTTGCAGCATGAATGTGATCATCTAGACGGATCTCTCTATGTTGACAAGATGGTCCCCAGAACGTTCAGGACCGTAGAGAACTTGGAGTTACCTCTCTCTGCTGGGAGCCCCAAGCTGGGTGATCGCTAATCCATTTTATCAGAAAACTCTTGATCACACATTTTTTAGGAACCTGTTGGGTTCCATATCCTCTTGGTGAGATGTAATATCAATGAAACTCTGTGTAGGACACTTTTTTGAAGATGACAGATGAAGATTTGTATTCAAATTACAATTCGAGCAGATTGGAGATGTTGGAACTGTGCAGATGTCTTTGATGCATCTGAGTTGTTCTTGAAACAGTTTCTAGGATGAGATCCATTTCGATCTTTATTTTTGGCTTACACGCAATTTCTTCTTAGGGCTACATCGCGAGATCATAGAGAAATTGCATATTTAGTCTTCTCTTGACCAGTTTTAGGCCATTGTATGACTTCCATGCATCATTATAAACACTAATGGTACACTTTTGAATACGTTTTTTTCGTTTGTTTCCTTGATCAAAGAATCCTGGAAACAACTTATATACATTCGATGTATATGCAGCTGAAAGCAACATGAGAGAGAGAGAGAGAGATGCCTCTCAATTATGTCGTATTGTAATATTTTTGTGTCGTGTTATTTTGTGTCGTCTTTTGAGTCAATAAAAAAACTATTTTAACACAAAAAATATTTTCGGCTCGAGTCAATTGTGTTGTGTCGTATGTTTCACATTTATGATAATTCATATAATACTATTTAAAAATTATAAAATGTCTATTTCTTACTTATAATACTCGTTAAATAGTTATTCTTTGTTTAAAGTTACACACGAAACTTTTGATTGTTCAATCAAATTAAAGTTAGATATGAATAACATGATTTAAGGGATATAGTGGACTAAAAATAGTTATTTAACAAGTATAATAGACAAAAAAATAAGTATTTTATAAATTTTTAAAAATATTTTTTTAGTGACTCGATACGAAACGATATAATTGAGAGTTATATAACGAATATTAATGAATGAAATTCTTTTGGATCATAAATGTAAAAATATTTCAACTTTGATGGTACAATTTATCATTAGTTCGAACTTTTGTAACGACAAAATAAATGGCAGTTAGCCCCCAAGTGCATTTTAATACAAATTTATTTCTTTTAGATTATAAATTGATATTTTTAAATTTTGAAGATGTAAATTGATATTGGAATAATCTTTTTTAGGGTGTTACTTGCTATTAGCCTAAAAAAGGCAAAATTTAATTTAAGCTGAAACCGACGTCGTTTTTCTAGCAATATCAGTCTAGTGGAAAAAAGAGTAAAATCCCGCTCTTTGACTGGGAAATTCTCTCTCTCTCACCGTCTCTCTCCCTTGAGCTGTTGCTTGTGATCTTTCATCCAAAAATCACGGGCAGGCTCAGATCTGTCTCCATCGACGAAGCGCTCCTCATCGATGGCAAGTACGGCATGTTTTATGATAGTCAGCAGGAACGACATTCCCATATACGAAGCCGAAGTCGGCACTGCACCTAAAGTATGATTTCCTTCATCACTTGTCATTTCGTCAATCCAAAACACCCTCTTGATTTTTTCAATTATCCCAATTTAATTACACATAGAATCACAGTCATTCAAGTTTTCTAGGGTTTTCAAATTCACAATAGTTTAATTGAATGTGTAGAATTAAGTCATCAGACAGTAACAAGTGTCTCACAATCTTATACTAGAAAGAAGATGCTGCACATCTGCACCAGTTCATACTTCATGCCGCCTTGGATATTATTGTCCAGGACCTTGCTTGGACAACAAGTGCTATGTGAGATGCACACCTCACAGCTTCTTCTTCTTCTTTTCTCTCTCCCTCTCTCTCTCTCTCTCACACACACACACATATTAAAATTTCTTTGTTTTTTATTTGGTTATTGTTCTTGTTTTCATTGTCTAGACACTGATGGTTTTCCTTGGTGACATATTTGATTGATCCAGATTTCTGAAAGCAATTGATAGATTCAATGACTTGATGGTTTCAGTATATGTGACTGCAGGTCATATCCTACTTGTATTCCAATTATTTCATTTATTCACATTTTCGTTGAAAGCTTAAAATCACCATTTGCCAGTTTTATCCTGCAACTATGAGTTGGAATTTTTACTTTTTTTAGTGGACATGCATGTTAAATGAGCTTCATTTGAATGTTTTCTGTTTATTGTTATACTCGAGGCTAAATGCTATTACTTAAGAGTAAAAAAAAAAAAATTGATTGAACCTGATTTGTTTTTTTATCCCATTTCTTGAACTTCTTGATTTACGATCCATCTTACTCAGACCGTCCTTTGCTTGATTTATGTTTATTGTTTTGGTTTAGTTTGTCACATTTGGAATATAAAGTTCGAGTTTGGGCTAGGGCTTATTTAAAGTAAATATTAAACAGTAAACACGACAGAGTGAGAATGAATGTATGTATTAATGTGTATGCATGTGTGCGTACATATCTGCTGAGGTATACACTCAAGTACATAAGACCTTGAATGCCTTATTTGCACACACACATGAGTGCGCGAACAAAGCATTATCACAAGTTCCCTCTTAAGCAATTGGTCTCAACCTATTTAGATTCTAACTTTCAAACGGAGAAAATAAAAAAAAAAACTGAGAACAAATTATTATTTCACGCATTACTTAGATTCTTGCAGGGATATAGCTTGTTTCATGGATACATTCTAATAGGTTCAGATTAATGTCGAAAATGGCTCTGTTATTGTTTATTTTTATTGCTGCCAATACATTTGACATTCAATACATTTGCATTGTAGAGATATTTGGTTGTTTTTCTTAATCCATTAATCTTACATACGCGACTGATGCTGCTTCATGACTCTCGTAATGATGATGGAATCAAGAGCTTCTTCCAAGAGGTCCATGAGCTATATATAAAGGTAAATCTCTTTTCTGCGCTTCTTGATAGCATTTTGTTACCATTTTTCCAAATTATTTTGAGTAGCATGATTAATGCTTTTAACATTGCTGCTCAGTTTAGTATGGTTGTTAATTTGATTTTGTAAATTGTATTCTGTCACATTTTGCCCCTTACGTTGACGGACTTTGGGATCCAAAGCCTTGATGGTCTGTGTTGTACAGTAAATCATAGATGAACCTTTGCAACTCATTTTATTAAGAGGCTCCACTAAGTGAAAAAAATTGCTGCTTACTTGAATGTAATTATAAATTCTTGTTTTTTTTGCTAACCCCCCAACTTCACTAACATTGAGATCTCGTCTAAAGCCGTGATGGGCTATGTTGAATAGTAAATTGTAGATGAACCACTGCAACACTTATTAATGGTCTCTATGAAGTGAAAAAATGGCTGCTTAGTGCTTACTTGAATGTAATTATAAATTCTTCTTTTTTTTCTAACAACCCCTCCCCCCCCCCACCTTCACTTTGAGATTTCGTCTAAAGCCTTGATGGGTTATGTTGAATAGTAAATTGTAGATGAACCACTGCAACACTTCCCATTAATGGTCTCTATGAAGTGAAAAAATGGCTGCTTACTTGGATTTATAATAATCTCTTCGAATAAGAAAACCTCGGTGGCCAGCTATGGTTGATGATGCTATAAATACAGGGATTCTATGAAAAATTATGTTTAAAGTAGGGCAAAATCCAGTTTACCCCCTTGTGGTTTGGGTATTTTGTACATGATCCCCCTATGATTTAGAAATCAGCACATTATCCCCTTAAACTTTTGGACCTATATGCACAATTAACGCCGTAAACAGAAGCGGTAAAATGACTTTAGTACCCTCAACTATTCATTATTTTTTTCCTCCCTCTCAACAGTAGCCTAATTTTCTGAAAAATCAACCAACCATCCAACTTTACAAGTTTTTCTCTCTCTCCACAAAGTACCAAACTTCCTCAAACCAATGTCAATATCCTCCACTCTCAACCTAGTTTTAAACCCCATGGACTTGTTTCCTTAAATAGCCCTCATGACCCACGAATTTAAGCTCAAAAGTGATCACAAACTCATTTTTACAAGTTATGTACATACCATAATTTTTTGGGTAAATTGTAAGGGGGTACACCAAATTAAACTTATTTGACAAACAGTACATACTAAAAAATCTATGGTTATTAAGTATTTAATTTTAATATTTATTTGTATCAAAATACATAATTTGAATTTATCCATTTTTATTGTGTCATTTTTGCCCTGCATTAATGCATGTGTATTTAATGCACAACTTTTCTTTGGAAAGTGGTGCATTAAACATCTTCTAATTTTATGGAGAACTTTAATATATATATATATATATATATATATATATATATATATATATATATATATAAATATTTGAATCAAGATGCATTAAATATAATTTAAAAACAAAAACACTTTTCAAAAAAAAAAAACACATAAATCAAGGTGCATTAAAGATAATTCAAAATTTAAATAAGAGATTTAACAACAAATAAATAAGATATATATATATATATATATATGTGTGTGTGTGTGTGTGTGTATAAATAAGTATATATATTCGTATATACGTATATATAAACAAGTATACACGTATATATATATATATATATATTTACATATATTAACAAATACACTTGAATTAAAGGTGCATTAAGTACGTATTAGGTATATTTGTTAAAAGGTGCATTTATAAAAGGTGCATTAAAGGGCATTTATGTTTTTAACTCACATTTTGTTTTATGTACTTTTTGCTAAATAAGTCTAATTAGGTGTATCGGCTTTCAAAGGACCCTATTTTTTTAACATTTGGGTCAACTTTGGCCCTTAATTTCTTCCTCGTTTCTCAATCTTTTTGGGTGATTCAAATGCCTAAATTTAACTTCTTTCTACCCTCTTTCTAACCATGTATTTAGTTTGTCCAAATCATACACAAGGTAAGTGGAAATTGAGCTCTAAAGTGACGGGTTCATCATTGTCAAAAAATGTCACGATTTTTAATTCAATTTTTTACCCACCAAACCTCATTCTTTATCGATTCTAACTTCAAAAATAGATTCTTTGACCCTAAAAATGGTGGATTAGGCCCCCATTCACCTCCGAAACTCGAAATTTTGAATACCCAAAAATTCAATTTTCAAGCTTGAACAAGGGTTTTGATTTTTTATATACCTTGTTGCCTTTCTCTCACTCTTTCTCTCTGACTCAGCAATGTCACTGCCTTCTCCTCTCTACTCAAACCCCCTCTTCCCAAGCTCTCCTTGTAATCCACCACCCACCACTAACCACCCATACCGAAATCCCACCCCCACCAACAACAACCCAACACCCCCAAACCCCACCAAAAACCCACTCCCAACATCCCCCTGAAACCCACCCAACACCCCCCTAAAAATCCACCCCAAATCCCCAAAAACCCACTCCCAACAACCCCGAAAATCCACCTCAACAGTCCCTGAAACCCACTGAAAAACCCCACCATCCCTACCGAAAATCACAAGAACAATTACAAGAGAGAGAGAGAGAGGCGAAAGGCGAGAGTTGGAGAGGCACAAAGACGAGAAAAGGGGAAAGGGAAATGAGAAATGAGAAATTTTTTTTCTAACAGTAAAATGTAGAAGAAGATAAAAAAAAAAGGTCTTTCTGAAAGATTACAAAGGTATATTTGGGCTTTTAGATTGAGTTTTGACTTTGACTTAAATTTTTTACATCCACACTTGCAAATCTAGTGCGTGTGTTATAATTTCTGTTACTTTTGACATAAATAGTAGCAATCGTTCTTTAGTCCAAAAATACAAGGGGGCAATGTGCTGATTTTTGAACCACAAGGAAGTGTTGTGCAAAATACCCAAACCACAAGGGGGTAAACTGGATTTTATCCTTTAAAATATAATTTCCTGGAGCTGAAGAGCTGAGATTAATTTATGGTTATATTTCAATGCAGTGCTATACATGCCATGTTTCTAGGTAAGGCATGCTTCCCCATTTACATTGCATCCTTTTAAAGCATAATAATAAACAAAAAAACATGAATAGTTGAAGCCAGACCTTATACCAACTTTGTAGAAATTTTTGGTTATGAACAACTAATAGAGGCCAACTTGAACCAAAACAATTGTTACTAAACTTGATGATGCACAAAATGGTTTTATACACCACCTGTCAAGTGTAAGTAATAAATGCAAAAAAATAATATTATGAGATGGAGAGACACATGCAATTTATAGTGGTTCGGTCAGCTCGACTTACGTCCACTCTTCAATGGTTCTGGTTGTCGGGTATTTTATTAACTCAAGGGTGTGGGGAGTAGAGAGTACAAGCTTTGAGGGAGAGGAGAGAGTCGTGTTCAGGTAAAGTATGATCTACCCCCAAGTGTTGGTGGGGCTTACAATTTATAGTCGCCCTTCTAACATATTTGGGCAAGATATTAGTAAGTAGTTGGCTAATTTGTTGGATCTAGCGAGCTCTTCTCAACGTGCTAGGCAGTTTGCGATGCTCTCCATGAGATTCGGTCAAATGATGAGGTGGGGTGTTGACCATCTCCAGGACATCAAGGATAGGGCTTTGGATGACCTTGCTTGCTTCCTTAGCTCCTTGAGCTGCTGAGCTTGACCGGGCTGACCACACTGATGAGCTTGACAGCGTAGAGCTGATGAGCTTGAACAGGTTGAGCTGATGAGCTTGACCGAGTTGGCCACACTAGGCTGGATTTGCTAGATCTCTTGGAGTCAGACTATAAACTTGAGTTGGGCTTATAACATGAGTTGGGCCTTTGGGCTTGACCCATCATTTACCCCTCAATGCCCTGTGTCCAATGGAACTTGGAAATGAGGGCATTCAATTAAGTTTGAATTTTTGGCTGATCGGCATAATTGGAAAAACTTCGGGAGGCCAAAACATCTACTTTAGAGAGCTTCGATTTGATATATTATAAGCCTCATTTGGAGTAATGGAGCAGAAATTACAGTCAAAACTTCTAGCGGAGAGCTAGACGAGCAGTTTGGGCGAGCAGGCAATTTCGGGGTGAGCTGGGCAAGATTTTTTTTTTTTTTTTTTTAAATTTCGAAAGGCTAAAACATTTTTTTCTGGGCCTTTTTTGGACTTTTTACGCCATCATTCAAAGCCAAAGACTATAAGTCTTGTAGGGCTTGTCAAGAACTTCGATTTGATATATAATAAGCCCCTGTTTGAAGTTACAGAGTAAAATTTATGGTCAAAACTTCGAGCAGGCAGCTAGGCGAGCATTTTGGGCGAGCAAACAGTGTTCTGGGCGAGCCTTGGGGTGCAGCCTGGGCATCAAGACTTGGAGGTGCAACTTGGGATGTCTGGGCATCAGGTGATGGAAGTGTAGCCTGGGATGCCTGAGCATCAGGAGCTGAAGTTGTAGCCTGGGATGCTTGGGCATCAGGAACTGGAGGTGCAGCCTGGGATATTTGGCCATCAAGAGATGGAGGTGCAGTGTGGGATGTTTGGGCATCAGGAGCTAAAGGTGCAGCCTGGGATGTCTAGGCATCAGGAGATGGAGGTGCAGCTTGAGATGCCTGGGCATCAGGAGCTGGAGGTGTAGTCTGGGATGTCTGAGCATCAGGAGATAGAGGTGCCACTTCAGGCGCTGATCTGGGCGCCTTTGGAACTATTTTGTGCAACTTGGAAGCCTAGTAAAGGTGGTCAGACACTTCTTCAAGTGCTGGGCTGCCTCGTTTGGGCGAGCACATAGGATCAGACACCTATCCAGGTGCTGGGCTATCTCGTTTGGGGAGCACATAGGATTAGACATCTCTCTAGGTGTTGGGCTGCCTCGTTTGGGCGAGCACATAGGATTAGACATCTCTCTAGGTGCCGGGCTGCCTCGTTTAGGGGAGTATAGAGCGTTAGTCACCTCTGCTTGGTTGTCTCGTTTGGGTGCCTTAGGTGAGCCTGGTTGTGATGACAAAAACAATGTTATTGCAAACA